GTCGCCCCCGACCCTCGTCGCGTGGTCGCCCCTCCACTCCCGACCCGCAGCCCCTGCCAGCCCAGCCCTGCCCCCCCCCCAGCTCTGCCAGTGCCCCTCACTCCCGACCCGCAGCCGCTGCCAGCCCAGCCCTGTGATTCCATCAGTTCTGAACACAAGGAAACGTCCAACGGAGATTAATGGCTGAGGGCAGCCGGACTCGGGGGACACACTGGGAGCCGGACACACGGATTCTCTCTCAAATTCCTCTCCCAGTTCTGAGGCGCCTCCCATCCGACAAACCCGAGCGCCTTTATCTTACCTACCTGGAAATCTGCTATGGGCCAGTGCTAGCCATTCTAGGCCAGTAGTAGCCAATCCCTTAGGCTGCCTGGTGGTTTCCTTAAAAATAACTAACCTCCACTCACCAAAGTAGTGTGTCCCTCCCCTGGGTCCTTCTGTGCTGAAGCCCAGCACCCAGGAGAGGTGAGCGCTCCTTGGATCATGGTACCACGGCGTTAACTCTGGAGCCTACTGACGGCAATGACAGATGGCAGCGCTCTTAGAGGGGTCAGCACAAACATCTGGGGAGAAGCTTGGGCTGGTGTGTGTCTCTCTGCTGCCCCCTCGTGGCTGGTGTGTGTCTGTGCACACACTTGGGTCCCTGCTCCGCAGATGGCTGGTTGTGTCCGTCTCTGAGCTTGTTTGGCCCCAGGCCTGTTGTGCATTAGTTGTGGTGCCGTCTGCGGTTTGGCTGCCCTGTCGTCTGGGTCTCGTCTCGTGGGGGAGGGGGTGTCTGTGCGTCCGTCTGTCTGTGTGAGACGTGTGTTGTCTCCTCGCACGCTCCATCTGTGCCTGGCCCCCGTCGTGTCTGTTCACGGCAGCCGCAGCTGCCATCTTCCCCCTCGGGTGGAGCAGCTGCTCCGGGTGCGCGGCTGGCTCTGGGGGGTGTGGCTGGTGGGGCTGTGTGTGTCTCTGTGTGTGTGTGTGTCTCTGTGTGTTTATCTGTTCACCTCCTGGCTGTGCTGGGTTGCGGGGTGGGGGGGCCTCCGGGGCACAGGGCCGGGCTCACTCGTGTGTGGAGGGGGAGGCCCGGGCCGGGGGAGGGGCTGCACTGCAGGATGGGTTCATGGCCCGGGGGAGCGCGTTCCCGCGTGTCGGTGTCGCGCTGCGGGGGGCAGAGCTGGGGGGTCCCTGGGTTGTGGGTGTGAGGCAGGTCCCTTCCCCCACACTGCAGGTCTCATCTCTGCCAGCAGGGGGCAGAAGAGACACTTATCCCCCCTGGTCATTTAGAGCCAGCTCAGGGTTCAGTATGGGGGGGGGGCAGTAACCCTCTGCCCCTGGGGGGCGCGGCTGGTTATCACACCAGCTTGGGGGGCTGGGATCACAAACCCCATGTACCCCCCCACCCCACCCAAGGGCCCTGCTGCCTGAGCCGAAACACACAGGAAAAAATCACCAGACAGACCCAGACACGGCCCCAGTTCTGCCGGTGCCCCTCACTCCTGACCCACAGCGCCCTGGTATCCCCCCCAGCTCTGCCCCCCCCAGCTCTGCCGGTGCCCCTCACTCCTGACCCACAGCCTCCTGGTATCCCCACGCCCCCTGCCCCCCCCAGCCCTGCCAGTGCCCCTCACTCCCGACCCGCAGCTGCAATTATAGGATACTGAACAGGGCTGAGCGCACGTGGCAAACTCTCCCGGCCCACTTGGCGAGCGTGTGTCATGTCCCCTCTAGTGCGTGCTGTCCAAGGAGGATCGTGGCGGTGACTGGGCTGGCGAGCGACGGGGCGAGGCCCACACGTCTCCGGGCTCCGGAGGGACATCGCTGAATTGCTGAGGGCTCAGAGAAGACGAGTCCAGGCCTAGAAAAACCTGCCTCAGCGTAAGAGGCTCCCAGCGCGTGATCGACGGGCTGGCGGGATCCCCGCTCTCAGGACCCACGTGGGGAAGGGAAAGGTGAGAACGGGCTAGATTGAGCCAGGGTGTCTCTTGGAGAGACCCCGGCGTCAGGCCCTGGGCCCCGACGAGAGCAGTGTCATCGGCCTTTCACTCGGCCGTCCCCAGCCCGCTGCCCCGCCTAGGGCTGGCAATCGAATTGCAGCGTTAATTGGCGGGCGCTGGGCTCTCATTAGCAGCATGACAGCGGGGGAGGGAGCGATCGGGTGCCCCTGCCCCACCCCGGGCTGGGACCCACAGGCATTCGGAGCAAGGAGGGACAGGGAGGTGGACAGACGCCGGACGGACAGAGCCATGAACGCAGCCCTGGGCTTGGCCTTGCTGGGCGGGTTGGTCGCTTTGCCAGCCGGTGAGCGGGTCAGGTCTCAGCTCCGGACATCTGGGGAAAACTCAGTGGGGGGGCTGCAGGTCCGGAGTGAGGAGCACCGTCAGACCTCGGGGGGGGAGGGCTGGGCTAGCAGGGGGCTGCGGGTCGGGAGTGAGGGGCACCGTCAGAGCGTCGTGGGGGCAGTGCTGGGCTGGCAGGGGCTGCAGGTCGGGAGTGAGGGGCACCCACCAGTCCCATTAATAGTTTTTTAGTCACGTGCTCTCGGGGCTGCTCCCTTTCACGTGGGTTGCGCTGCCCCCTGGTGGCCGCTCTCGCCAGTTACAGCCACTGCACACAGACTGGACACCTGGGTCCCAGTCCCCTGCCCGGACTCCTGGGTTCACTCATCCTCTCCCTCCCCTCTAGGGGAGGCCTTGCACTGCTACACTTGCCTGTTCCCCACCATCGCGCCCCTGGACTGCCTGAAGTTCGTCACCCCCTGCGCCCCGACGCAGCGCTGCCTCAGCTCCGTCGCCATGGGCCGCCGAGGTCAGTCTGGCCGGGGGGAGCGGGACACAGCGGGGCCTGCGGAACTCCCTGCTACTGGATTTCAGCAGCACAGCAGGGAGCCAGGGGGCTGAGCCGGGGTTACTGGGACCGTTGATGGTGGCAGCGCTGGGATCCCGGCCGTGGGGGATGGGAAGGGGTGGGTGGCTGCACTTGGTCTCCATCTCATCCCTCCCTCCCCTGCCCCCCAGGTGCCCTGGAGCTGGTCGTCTATGAGAAGAGCTGTGGGGAGGCCAAGCTCTGCGGGGCCCGGGGGACGCGCTGGCTGCTGGGGGCCAATTTCACCTACTCCACGGCCTGCTGCTCCAGTGACCTCTGCAACGGAGGGGCCCACCCGGCCTGGGGGGCACTGGGGATCGCCCTGCCCCTCGCCCTGCTGCTCTGACACCCCCCAGAACTGCTGCCCGAGGCCTCAACCCCTGACCTGGCTGAGAGCCCCCCACCCAGCCCTGGGACCCCTCCCATCCTCCAGCAGCTCTGAGACCTTCTCTCTAACCCCCGCCCACCATCCCAGCTCCTTCTCAGCTCCACTGCCGGGGCTCTGCCCCCCTCCAAAACCCATGGAGAGCCCCCGCCCTCCTCCCAGCCCACCCCACAGCACCTGGGAACCCTCCTCTTCCCACTCTGTGTGTCCCACCCCTGCATTGAAAGCTCCAAGATGCCCCCTCCAA